GGCCTTGCAGTAATAGGCCTTGGGTTACTGCTGGTAACCCTGTCTTCCTCTTGTGAGATTAGAGGAGGTCAGAACATGTGGCCTCCTTGCCGTTTTTGCACTGCGTCCATCCCTCCATGCACTCCTGCCCTCTGAGCTGTCTCCCAGTGCATATGCAGCCCTTCTTTCTCCCATGATTGTTCTCTCCAAGGAGTGTATCTACCTCGGGTAAATGTTCAACTCATATGCCTATCTTAGGACTATTATTCTTATTTTATAGATGAAGAAACTGAGGCACTGAAAAGTTAAGTCACATAGCTAGAAAGAGGCAGGGCTGGGACATGAATCTAGGCATTTTAGCCTAGAGCCTGCCTTAAAATTACTGATGGACTAATGAGAATGTAGTATTGGCCTTACAAAGAAACTTAAATGCTACTCCTTATCTGTCTACTCTTAATTGGTTTGCAAGAGTGACTTAGTAAGGTACCTCTGAGTATTCCTTCTCCATGCAGAGACACTGATACAAGAAGAGGCAAAAGGAATTGACGACATAGGTGAAGCCACTAAAAAACTTGTTGGCCAAGACAATGAACTTACATAGTCCCAATAAGTTGTAACAAGGTCATAATACTTACATTTAGGATACGCACAATGTCTGTTATGTGGCTTTTAATGAATGATTCTGTGTTTTCATCATAAGTTAAAGTTCGACTGAGACAAGACAAAGATCTTAGGAATGTCAGCTTCTCAAATTCACCCTGAATTTGTGGGAAAATGATAAAAACACATTATACAATACAATGCAATTTAATGACTGTAAAAGGCTTTTGAAAAACTTCCTGGAATGTTTTTAACGTTTGATATTTCATTTAGTCCAATACCAGTCTTTAATTATAAGGCATGAATGAATGAGAGAAGAATTTCAGTAAAGTTCCTTGCCCACTGGCCCTGCTTTGATTTGGGACCTCATTTCGCCACCCAGCTGGACTACTAATTGCTCAATGATGGCTTTCCCCACCTATGCACCCTATACACTGTTGCCTGATTAAGCTTCCTAAAGGCTCTCCTGATGTCATAAAGATTCATTATTTTGAGTCTCTAAGGTTTTCTAAGGAGCTATGGTGGTATAGTGCCTAAGGCACTTGACTGCTAACCAGAAGGCTGGTGGTTCAAGTCCACCAGCCACTCCTCGGAAGGAAGACTGGGCAATCTACTTCCATAGAGATACTGCCTTGGAAACCCAAGGAGGGGTTGCTATGAGTTGCAATCAACTCGATGGCAGTGAGTTTGGTTTTTGGGTAAGGTTTTCTATTAAAATGCAAGTTCTATTAAAAGAATGAAATCTTTTTGTGTATTAACATTCTCTTTCCTGGTTAATAAAAATATTTATTTATCATAGGAAGTCTGAAAAAAATAGAAGTATAAAGAAGAAAATAGGAGTTCCAGCAAGATGGCAGAATAGGCAGACAAGCTACATAGACCATCTTCAACACAGCAATGAGAAACCAATTGAAACCGAGACAGAAGATGATACTGGAACCCTGCGCTTTGAAGATAAGGATAACGAAGTGGGTTAAATACAGTGGCTTCTAGCCAAACGAAAGACAGGCATATGAGCTGAACATTTACATTAGGTAGATACACTCCTTGGAGAGATCAATCATAGGAGAATAAAAGGGTTCTGTATGAGCAGGGAGACAGCTTGGGGGGCCAGAATGCATGGGAAGGAAGGACACAGGGAAGAGTTAACTATGGGGAGGAAGTGGAAGGGGGAGCTCTCACACTGTGGTAAAGTGCAGTCAATGTCATGGGACAAAGCATATGTGAGCTGCTTTATGGAAAATGAATTTGCTCTGTAAACTTTCATACAAATCACAATAAAATTTTTTGAAAAAAGAAGTGGGTTAAATACCAACTAGTAGAAGAACAGATTTGTTAGTCCTTGTCTGTCCTGGAAGAAGTGCAGCCGGAATGCTCCTTGGAAGCAAGAATGGCCAGACTTTGTCTTACCTACTTTGGTCATGTTGTCAGAAGGAACCATTCTCTGGAGAAGGGTATCATGCTTGGTAAAGGGGAGGGTCAATAAAAAAGGTGAAGGTCTTCAATGATACGGATTGACACAGTGGCTACAACAATGGGCTAAGGTATAACAAGGATAATGAGGCTGGCACAGGACCGAGCAATATTTCATTCTGCTGTGCATAGAGTCACTATGAGTTGGTACTCAGTGGCACCTAACAACAACAATAGAAAAACCTGAATGAAAATAATGAGTAAGAAGACAAATAGAGCTATGGACTGCTAGCTATCCTGAAAGTACAACCATTTTGAATATTTCCCAGTAGCAACCTAAGAATCGGCTCTGCTCACTAAGGACTGCATGGGCAAGGACTGCATTAATGCTCGACAATCAGAAAGGAAAACAGCAAAGAAGGAGATTGCCAGGAACTGTCCTGAGGGCACAGCCATTTGGGGAATTTGCAAGTGGAGGGCGTAGCCATGTGGCATTCTTACCTGGCCAGCAACCTAAGATAGAGTTCACTTGCTGAGGACAACCACACTGGAGGCTGAGAACTAGCAAGGTACAATATTCCCCTTGTTACTCTTACATCCCATACCCTCTTGGTGAACAGAGGTATGGCCATCCCCCACCTACCTGGCCCCCCACTGTTTTGTTTTTGTTTGTTTTTTAAATCATTCTTTTTATCTTCCGCTTTTCTTCCTTTTCCTTTCTCTTTCCCATATCAGATTTTCTTTTGCAGTTTTCTCATTTTTTTCTTTACTATTATTTTACTCTTGCTCTTCTTTCTCATTCCTCCTCCCCCAGATATAGGGGGTTTTCTTCTCTTTTTCTCAATATCTTTGTTTTATTCTTTTTAATATATTTTAAAACTTTTTTCCTGTTTGTTTATGCAGTTTGACCTTTTTGTTCTCTTGTTTATATATATATAGATATAGATATAGATATACATATATGGTTTTTAAATTTTTCTTGTCTGAGTGGAAGATAGCAACTGTTCTAACACAACTCAATCATAACTGCACTCCCTGCAGCCCCACCAAGTAAAGGTCACCACTTGTTTTTGTACCAACAGATGAATGATAGATAGCAGCCAATACCAGCTCAACCCATTCTCAACAGCTCCTTACAAACCACTAAAGGGATCTGTGCACATACTCTCATTCTCCATCAACCCTCCACAAAGTGCTGAGTGCCTAAGTGCTAACTAATAGTGAACAGAGGAGCACAGTACCATGCTCACACACCTATATAAAAACAAAATGAAGCAAAAAGAAAATCTTGTGGGAATCACACCAACAAACAATTACAAATTAAACATAAATACAAGAACACCACAATGTCTTAAAGAAAAGAGATCATCACAGTCCACACAAAGAAGCAAGATAAAGTAGTAGAAACAAGGGACCAGGATACAAACCCAGAAAACATTCTTGAGGAAGAAGCAGCATTGAAACTCTCCAACAAGGAATTCAAAATAATTATATTTGGGTACCTTCAATGGATCGTGAGACAGATCAAGGAAAACACTGACAAAATTGAGGAAAACACAGAGAAAACCCTAGAACAATTCTGAAAGACAATACAAGAACAAAATGACAAAATAAATGAAAAATTAGAAGTGATACAAAATCTACAGACAGAAATCTGGAAGATTAACACTAAATTTTCAGAAATAGACCATATATTGAATAGGCAAAGGAGAACTGAATCAATGGAAGACAGAATTAGTGACAGTGAAGGCAAATACCTCAGTACTTCTTTGGAAAGGGATAAATCAGAAAAAAGATTAAAACAAAATGAAGAAAGCCTAAGGTTCATGTGGGAAACCAGCAAAAGGAATAACCTACATGTAATCAGAATCCCAGAACAGGAAGAGACAAATAAAAGCACAGAAAAATTGTCGAAGATTTGTTGGAAAAAATTTTCCTGATATGATGAAAGATAAGAATATATCCATTCAAGAAGTCTAACGAACCTCAAACAGGATAGACCTCAAAAGAAAATCACCAAGACATACCATCATCAAACTCACCAAAACCAAAGACAAGGAAAGAATCCTAAAAGCAGCACAGGAAAAATAAAGTTACCTACAAGGGCCAACCAATAAGAATAATCTTGATTTCTCAGCAGAAACCATGCATGTGAGAAGACAATGGGATGGTATATATAAAACCCTGAAAGAGAAAAATTTCCAACCAAGAATTATACCTGGCAAAACTGTCCCTCAAATAGGATGGTGAAATTAGGACATTTCTAGATAAGCAGAAGCTAAGGGAATTTTTTAAAACCAGACCAACCTTACAAGAGATGCTAAAGGGAGTCCTTTGGATGGAGAAGCAACAACCACAAACAACAATCAACCATTAACAGACACGATGACATAACCCAGAAACCAACCCACTTATAGAAGTATCCAAAGTAAATAAACCTACAAGATTGTAAACACGGAACCAGAGACACCAGTTGACAAATAAGACAACTGCAAACCAAAAAGAGGGAAAAAAACTGTGTAGTTACAGAACTTCTAAATGGTAGGGAAGTAAAGACAACTACAAGATAGAATGGACTGTTCTAAACTTGGGAAGAAATTATAAATCACAGGGTAACCGCAAAGAGAAATGATAAACCTTCACATCAAAATAAAAAAGAGGACGAATACAAATATTTAGCAAATACTAAAACAACAGCAATGAAGGAAGTGATAACACGATTAAAAAACAAAATTACCTAAGCACAGATAATTAAATGGAACAAAGAAATCAACATCACAAAAAAGCACATAACAAAATGACAGCTACAGATCCATACTGGTCGATAATTACGTATCTGACAAGAGACTTATCTCTAAAATTTATAGAAAACTCCAACACCTCAACAACAAAAGATTAACAATCCAATTTTAAAAATGGGCAGAAGACATGAATAGACACTTCCCAAAAAGGATATTCAGGCAGCCAGCAAATACAAGAAGACTTGCTCATGATCATTAGCCATCAGATAGATGGAAATCAAAACAAACTCAACACTAATGGCAAAGTTCAACAAGACAGAAAATAACAAATGCTGGAGAGGATGTGGAGAGATTGGGCCTGTAGAACACTGCTGGTGGGACTGTAAAATGATACAATCTCTGTGGAAAACGGTATGGTGATTTCTTAAAAAGCTGGAATTAGAAATACCATTTGACCCAGCAATCCCATTACTAGGTATATATCCCAAAGAAGTGAGAGCGGGTACAAGAACAGATATATGCACACCCATGTTTATCGCAGCACTATTTACAATAGCAAAAGATGAAAACAACCTGTATGCATATTAATAAAAGAATGGATAACCAAACTAAGGTACATACATACAATGGAATACTGTGCAACCCTAAAGAATAATGTAGAATCTGCAAAACACCACATAACATGCATGAACTTGGAGAACACTACACTGAGTGAAAGAAGTCAATCACAGAAGGACAAATACAGTATTAGTTCATTATTGTAAAAAGTCAAGGAAAGGTTTATATATGGAAGGGAATTTTCTTTGTTGGTTACCAGGGATGGGAGAGGAAGGGAGGGAACACTGCAAAAAAAAAAAAAAAAAAAAAGCATTGACCCATGTCACTTTAGTTTTGTGTATTTCACTATACATAAATTATATTGCAATAAATTAAATTTAAAAAAAAAAGAATTGACGGGATACAAATTAATGTTTCAACAAATTAATGTAGCACTGGAGGCGCTT